TGTCGACAGGCGTTGGAGTGGTATGCCGTGGGGTGTCGTGTGATGTGCCGGGGTGCACGTTGTCTCGGTGTGCGGTTGTATTAGGGGTGTGCTGGTGTTGCTGTTGGCCAAGGGTTGCTTGGTTGGATAGCGAGACGATAGTTGTCGATCCTGTTGTACTTGTGCACGAAGTCTTTGATGCTCTTCGGTTGGAGGGAGAGCAGCTGGAGGCCTATGTCTGCTGTGTTGGGGTTCTTTTTCAGGCTGTCTAACATGTAGTCCACTGTGGTGGATGGGTTGGCTATGTCGGGGAACCGGGCGGCGATCGTTTGTGCTCGGATAGTTTCGTGGCGTTTGACGTATTCGTGTACAGTCTGACCTTCCTCGATTTGACATTGCTCGGCCAGTTGCTTGAGATAAATGTGGTCGCTGGCATTTGTGGTGTCGAGGAGAACTGTGAGCTTTTGCAGGATGTCGTACGGGGTGAGTTGCTCGTCGAGCATTAGCAACAGATTGAGGATGTCTTCGGGGATAGTCGCTATCATCTTGCCGAGAAGCGTGTGTTTCGCTATCGAGTGTGTGTGTAGGTCTGGATCATTGTCGGGGGTGGGCGGGTTGCCTTCGAGGTGATCTATGGCGTCGTGTGTGTATGCGGCGGATCGGAGCGCGATGAACCAGGGACCGTAATTCGACGGTTCGAGTTTGGGGATGTCACGGCGGTCCATGATTGTGGGATAGGTGTGGTGGCGTGGGTGTTGCGGTGGGATGTAGAGGAGGTCTGCGGGAGGCAGTGTGGGGGGGATTAATGAGGATTCGGGACGGGGCTGCCTTGTGTTGAGCGTTTCCGTTCCGGCTTGGATTTGCACTGGGGGTTGGCTGCGGCGGGTGCGTGCCGGTCCTGGGTGCTTGGGGTAAGCGCGATCCAGTTTGTTATTCGATGTTCGGTGTGTTGAGCAGTGAAGCGAAGAGGGCCATAACCTGATGAATCGTAATTCTCATGGTTCTGTCTTTACTCGTCGTCGCCGTCTCGTGGGTTTAAGTACCGCGTGTGACAGACTGTAATGTCGACAGTCTGTCCTTGCGGTCCGTCACAGAACAAAGGAATTGGGCTGTGCATGCTTCAAGAAACTGAACTGTGAAGGCGAGAGGTGATGATGGGACCTGCCCTGCCCTTAAAGGGCGCCACGGCCCACCCCTCACGTCGGCTATATGACACATTTGTATCTAGCGAACCACTAATCACCGAGTCGATACTATACCGAGTACGGCCATATGACACGTTTATATCTAGCCAATCACTAATCGCCAAGTCGATACTGTACCAAGTACATTAGGACTCCACGTGTGCTCCACGTGTAGGCGTGAAATCTACCGTGTGCGTTAGGATATGCCCCTAAAACATAAAACTGTAAAGTTTTATGAGTAGAGATGAAACTGCACCTGAAAACCGCAGCGTGGACTCCCACCATTGGCCAGTTGCTCCACATATCTATAGTATCACCCAGTTTCGGAAAAAGGTCAGCCGCTGGGCTGAACCGACCACTGGAGCATGATAGTGGCGGAGACTCCAATTTCAAGCAAGCAACAAAATGAGGGACGGGGTCGACCAGGTTGAGAAGGATGCACCACGAGCTGTTCACAGCTTGTGCCTCGCATGAAGCTGTACGAGCGCGCGATTGAGGAGCACCATCACGTCGGCGCGATGGTACGCCTCGGAAACCTATTGAGAGAGGCCGCAGAAGCGACCGGGAAGAACGCGTAGCGTCGTATGGGGTTGCATGAACGGGCCATCGAGGAGCGCCATGATTCTGACGACAGGTCAAACTGGGCAACCTACTCCTAGATGGAGCGGAGGGAATTCGGACGGACGCAGTACGCGCTGGTGAGCTATATGAAAACGCGGTCGACCTTAATGAAAGAGTCCGCACGATTGTCGCTCTCGTCATTCAGTCCTGCTGAATGACGGCGCGGAGGGAGTCGAGAAGAAAATAGTTCGGGCTGTTCAATTCTTGGAGTACCTGAGAGAGAAATGTTGTGGTATAAGTACCTTCGTCCCGACCACTCGGAAACGAGGGGGTTAGAGGTAAGGGAGCGCACGCCGCTGGGTAACCCACGCGCGAACGCAAACCGTACGGAAGGACTCGAAAAGAGGGAAGGCTCACGTGGCCGGTGATGCGCAGCCGGTCGGTGGTGTTAGATCCGGACGGCCGGTCACGGGTTAGAAGCCTGAGACTAAAAGGGACACCGGAACGGGATAGAAATTAGCCGTAAAGGGAAGGGAGGCGAGTCTGCCTCCCGTTTACTGGAACGGGGCAGGTGCCCCTGGTCTTAACCCCTAAGTGGGACGCCAGGACACCTGTCCCGCTATCTACAACTACTAAAATCCGTGTCTGTGTGTCTGTCTGTATGTCCTTGCGCTCCCGCGTTGCCATTGGCGCACGGGGGCGGCGCCGCGGTGACAAGTGGCGGCCACGGGGACACGTGGCGTGACAAGTGGCGCGCCCCGGGTGACAAGTGGCGACACGTGGCCACCGGCGGCCACGTGCAGGGCGGCCTGGCCTGCGGCCAGGCCGCCCCGAGTTGCAAGTGGCGACACGTGGCGGTAAAATTAATGAAATTTTGAATTTCGAACTGTTACACCAATGCGGCACTACAGTAGCGTGCCGGTGACAAGTGGCGACACGTGGCGCCGCCCCTGGTGACAAGTGGCGGTGAGGCGAAAGCGCGCACGAATAGAAACGTTTTTTACATAGCCGCACGTCGGCAGCACAGTACCTGCTTTCGAGTTCAACAACCTTCAGCAAATTTTCACCACGTGACGGCTCCCTGGTAGCGTGGTGACCAGAGTCTGGGCAAGGCAGTGATCGTGATTCTATGCCGGCTTAGTAGTGGGCTGAATACGGCATTCCCCGCGAAAAGTTTACCGGATTGCTTGACGGCATCCGGATAGTCCCTAGGTGCTATTGCGCTTTGCTTTTAGTAAAGCGTGGTAGTCTGCCGCTGTGCAGGAAGCCTAATCCGATAGCGCACCATTTATTGGTGTTGTAGTATCGGGCTCGGAACAACGGCCTCCGCAGAGCAATCTGCGGACGTCGGACTGACGTTGTTTTCAACGTCGACAACGAAGATCAAACGCAGCCTCTGTCAAACTATAGAGGCTGCAAGAAGACCCAGTGTAGGTGCCGTTAGGGCTTGGGAAACCTAACCACCGCACTGAGGGAAAAGGGAGCGCGCGTACTTAGCGACCCCGGCAGGAAGAGCCTTGCAAGAGGTTCTTTCTAATACCGGGCTCCCTGGGAGTAGAAATAGACAAGGTGGTCGTACTCTGAGTATTAAGACTGTACCCTGTGTATAGTAGGACCATTACTCTATTTCTATTTCTATTTCGTTTTTGGTTCTTTTGAATCACGGGATAGTACAAGACAATAAAGGCCCTATATTGTTACTCTTTTGATAAGTGCTCTTGCGGACGACCTAGCTGGCTGACGTTGCGTTTAGACCTTTGAGGACTGCTTGCTACGACTCATAGCGATCTACAACGGACCCCTCGCACTTGCGTCAACCCTAGCTGCACTTGCAGGGATAACACTAGCGCGCCAAGCAGAACATAAATGGCGGGAACAGTGGGCGAAGACGTGGCAGAAGCAAGACGGCAGCAAAGAAACGCGCGTGCAAGGGAAAGAAGAGCGCAAGAGTCTGAATCTGACGCTCAAGCACGTCGTGAGGCACGTCGAGCCCGTGCGAGAATCCGGACGGGGCAACAAACCGAATCTCAGAGGGAAGCGCGTCGTCAAGCCGACCGTGAACGTGCTGCAGCACGAAGAGCAGCAGAGACGTCTGAGCAGCGCGAGGAGCGTCTCCGTCGACTGAGGGAGAGAGCCAGGGCCCGCAGAGCGGGAGAAACCACCCCCCTCCGAAATGCGCGGCGCGAAGCGGATCGCATTGCGACACGAGGCACTAGAGCGGAGGAATGTACTCCTATTCGTGAGGGGCGGCGAGAATCGGATCTTATTGCAATGCAAAGAGGCCGAGCCGAGGAAAATACTCCACTGAGATCTTCGAGACAGGAGTCGAATCGCTTGGCAATGCGACAAGCGAGAGCTGTGGATATATCCCCTGTCATAGCTGCGCGGCAAAGATCCGACCGCCAGGCTCGAAGTGCCTCTCGACAGCTCTTCCCTCCGCTACCCGAGTCCTCTCCTTCGTACCGCGATCTCGGCATGATCCGTGTTGAGTGTTCACACTGCAAAGCTCTGCATTTCGTCCAAGAACGCATTGGGGGCAGCTCTGCCGCAAGGCCCATTTTTTCCACATGCTGTGGGAAGGGGAAGCTGTCATTGCCGCTTCTCCCCGACCCGCCAGCTCTTCTGCGCTCTCTTCTCATCGATGATACTCCAAGGGCCCGCAGCTTCCGTAAGAACATTCGAGCATACAATGTAGCACTATCGATGGCATCCGTGGTCGCCAAATGGGTGAACAGAGGTCCCGGTCCTTCTAATTTTAACCCCACAATGACGATGCAGGGCGGGATGTACCATTACATGGGTCCCATGATGCCATCCGAAGGGCGGGCGCCTTCCTATGCTTCCGTTTACATTCATGACACTGACTACGCCACCCAGACGCGCACAAGGCTTGGAAACTCTAGACAACTGGAAGAGGCACTGATGACGCAACTGACACACATGCTGCACGAATGCAACGCCTACGTGCAGACGTTTCTGTGTATGCGAGAATGGGCTCACTCTCCTCACAACAACTTTCCTGCCACGTACCAGATGGTCATCCATGCCGACCGCAGGCCAAGTCATGAGCACGTGCGCCGGTACAATGGTCCCGAAGCTTCTGAAGTCGCCGCATTGATCCCTGGAAATGAAGACGGAGAGATTGGGCGAAGAGATATCGTAGTGCGCAGGAGAGGGACTCTGAACAGTAACGGGAACGAAGTGCTGGATCTGATTTCAGTCAGTCATCGCGCATACGATCCATTGAGTTACGTGCTTTTGTTCCCGAACGGTAGAGATGGATGGTATCCAGAGCTTCGATTCTCCAGTGTTCAAGACGGCAGACGTACCAAGATTACTCCGATGATGTACTACGGATGGCATTTGTTCGAAAGAGCAGGCGAGTTCAGCACAATCTTGCACGCAGCACGACTCTTTCAGCAATACTTGGTTGACCAGTTCTGCAAAGTGGAGGCAGAAAGGCTTTCTTATCTCCGCCACAACCAGACACAACTTCGAGCCGCCGACTACACCTCACTGCGCGACAGCCTAGGAGACTCCGGTCGTGCTGAAGATGAAGCCGATGCCGTGCGTGCAGGACGACTGTTCATTCTCCCTTCCACGTACATTGGAGGTGACCGCTATATGAGGCAGCAGATGCACGACATCATTGCTATATCGAACCAAATTGGCCACCTGGACATCTTCCTCACCATGACATGCAATCCAAGCTGGCCGGAGATCACAAGAGCCCTACTGCCGAACCAAACGCCTCAGGACAGACCGGATCTGTGCGCACGTGTGTTTCGTCTGAAAATGAAAGATCTCATGTCCTTGGTCATCAACGAAGAAGTATTCCGAACCGTTGTTGCCCATGTACGAGTCATCGAGTTTCAGAAACGCGGTCTTCCCCACGCTCACGTTGTATTTTTCCTAGATGAAGTCTCCAAGAATGATCTGCGTACTCCCGAAAACGTCGACCGCATTATCTCTGCCGAGATCCCGTCTGCCCAAGATCCAGAACTCCAAGAGGTCGTGCTCAAGCATATGATTCACAATCCATGTGGAGAACACAATCCAACAGCCGTGTGCATGGGCGAGCGGTACTGCAGGAAAGGGTTTCCAAAATCGTTCAAACACGAAACCAGCCAGTCCGACAGTGAGTACTACATCACGTACCGAAGAAGGGCACCCTCTGCAGGTGGCGTCTCCATCGAGCGACCCTCCCGTATTGGCCGACGACAGCAACCCGTCGTGGTAGACAACTCCTGGGTCGTTCCCCACAGTCCTGTGCTTCTACGTTCATTCGCTTGCCATTTGAATGTTGAACTCTGCGTGTCACGCGTTGGCGGAATCAAGTACCTCTTCAAGTATGTGTGCAAGGGACAAGACCGAGTGACCATGGAAATCACTGCCGAGAACGAGCGCTACGACGAGATCTCCAACTTCCAAGATGCCAGATACGTTTCGGCGTCGGAGGCCGCATGGAGGTTATTCTCCTTTGACATTGTAGACCGCAATCCTCCAGTAGTCAGGCTTGCAGTGCATCTGCCCAACCACCACACGGTTTACTTTGAGGAAGGGCGAGAGCAGGAGGCGGCGCTTCGACCAGCAACAGGCACGAAGCTGACCGAGTGGTTTAAAGCCAACGAGAAGTACCCAAGCGCGCGGCATATTCGGTACCACAAGTTTCCAAGGTACTTTACGTGGAAGACACACACCAAGTCATGGAGTCCAAGAGCAACCCAGCGAAGACGGAACGCCAGCAGCGAAGAGGAAGCCTACGATTTCAGTGGTACAGGTGTCAACGTAGTCGGTCGAATCTACACTGTCAGTCCGAGGGAGGGTGAGCGCTACTTTCTTCGCCTCCTCCTCACACAAGTGCCAGGTGCAACATCCTTCGAGAACTTGCGAAATATCGACGGTGAGCAGTGCACCAGCTTCCGACAAGCTTGCTTACGACTCGGTTTGCTGGCCGACGATGCCGAGTGGAAGCACGCAATCCGAGATTCATTCCGGTCAAGCTTCGTTCCTCTTTCTCATCTGTTTGCTACGATTCTGGCACACTGCCAGCCTTCGGACCCTCTCTCGCTGTGGAACGACCACCTGGACATGTTTCTCACCGATATTCGCAATCGTGCACGCGGACAACCTATTCGAAGACAGCAGCTTCGCGATGATCACCACGCCACATCTTACGTGCTTCGAGAGGTACAGGAGGCCCTGCAGATCGTGCGTTCCGACTGGACACTCGCAAACTTCGGACTCCCACTGCCCGATGACAGCCTTCCCGCTTTGGAACAGCAAAACGAGATCGAGACCCCCGAAGCTAGAGCGCAGCAGTGGGAAGAGCGACTACAGACGTCGTTGCCGCTGTTGAACACAAATCAACGCCATGCCTTTGACGAAATAGTGGGCTCCATGCTTCCAGGCGTATCCGTCTTTGCATTGCTTCAAGGATCCTCAAGCGCCGTGGCAGGACCTTCTATGCCGACACGAAGTGGTCGTCTCTTCTTCCTCGATGCTCCAGGCGGAACAGGCAAAACATTCGTGCTCAGCGCCATTCAAGACTTCCTTCGTACGCGCCGTAAGCAAGTCATCGCTGTCGCTACGTCTGCTGTTGCTGCTGTGTTGCTCGACGGTGGACGCACCGCTCATTCCGTGTTCAAGGTTCCCATTCCTGTATCTGCCGAAAGCACGTGCAGCTTCTCCGCAAACTCCGACACTGGCCGTACACTGCAACAAGTCGATCTCATCATATGGGACGAGATCGTCATGTGCCATCGACATTGCATTAAGACTGTCGATCGCTCCCTTCGCGACTTGATGCAAACCGACTGGCCCTTCGGAGGAAAGTTCCTCGTGCTCGCTGGAGACTTTAGACAAATCCTTCCCGTCGTTCCGGGCGGGTCCAGAGGTCAAATCGTGAGTGCGTGCGTCAAGGCTTCCCCGCTGTATCGAGAGTGCCGATTCCTGCGCCTTACCGAGAACATGCGCCTTGCTGCTCTCCGAGCGGACCCTGCAGCAGATGTGGAGGCTCTCAACTTTCCAGAGTTCCTCCTCAGCGTCGGGGAAGGCAGAATTAACGGCCAACAGCGCCCGGAATGGATCTCACTACTACAGTCCGTTGCGTTCGAGCATACCATCCGCAATTTATGCCTCAAGGTCTTCCAAGGGATTCGAGACAATCACGCCGACCCTGCCTGGCTCACCAAGCGCGTTATACTCACCACAAAGAACAGGCCGCTCGAGGAAGTCAACGAGGTCATCGGCAACATGATTCCGGGACCGTGTCGAACGTACCTGAGCGCAGACAAGGTCGAGAACGAAGACACCAACGCGCTAATGTATCCCACAGAAATGCTCAACACCTTGACCGCCGGATCTGCTCTACCAGACCACAAGCTCAAGCTCAAGAAAGGCTTCATCGTCATGCTTCTGCGCAATCTCGATCCCGCTACCGGTCACGTCAACGGCGCGCGATATGTCATCGAGAACATGACCAACAACCTGCTCTTTCTACGCGTTACCACCGGGTCACACCAAGGCAACAGACTTTGTCTTCCTCGAATGCCCTGCGGACCAGGAGACGACAACTTTCCCATCCCTGGCTTCACCCGAACGCAGTTCCCCATTCGCACGTGCTTCGCCCTTACAACGAACAAAGCGCAAGGCCAATCCTTCGGTGGCCGCATTGGTCTCGACTTACGAGATCACTGCTTCTCGCACGGTCAACTCTACGTCGCACTATCAAGGACTACTCACCCAGGGAACGTCACTGTCCTCACTCGAGAGTCCAATGAAACAACGCGAAACATAGTGTACCCCGAGGTCCTTCAGTAGTTACCAAAAATAGTAAACGCCATTGTCTTTACATCTTTTCATTGCCACCCTTCCCAAATAGTGTTCCTCCACGCTTTGTTGGCTCGGCGCGCGAAGCACGCACGGAGCCCACTTGTAGTAGCTGTTACTTACTGTATACCAGCTACTGTGCTAAATTGGCTAATTTGTGCCATTAACTACTAATTACTAATTACTTACCGTTCGGATCCTACACGTGTAACCATCGGGGTACTATTAGATCACCGGGGCGAATGCTATCGGCTGCTCCCAAGACCGACTATTTACAAAATGACTGCATCATTTCAGATACTGTAGAGTGCTTTCTTGCGCCGCAGCTATCTGACCAGCAATGTAGCACTCCCTCATTTTATTTGGTAAATTCGGTGTTGAAAATGTTTTGAGAACGCAGTAAACATATCCTGAAGTCATTAATCAAGTACTTCTACCATCCTCGGTATCGGGATGAACCTGTGCGCGAAACTGCATGTCCATCCTGCGCCTCCGCTTCTGTCTGTATCGCTCAAGCGTGCTTCTGCGCCGCTCAGCTTGTGATGCACCGATTTCGTAGGTGCGGTTCCTCATTCTGTGGAACCGATCCAGATCATCTCGCCGAAGCGGATGCCAGCGAATGTGCATGTTAGTTAGCGCGAGACATATACGAAAGAACTTGTCATAGTTGTCCTCTGACCAACGCCACTTCCTCTCCAGCACTGACCACAATCCGCATGCTCTTCCAAAAAAAGTCTCAACTATTATACGGTCGGCGGAAATTTTGCAATTGTATCGCTCTTCTGTTGGCGAAAGCCGCTGATTAGGGCGCTTCTTGATGGGATGAATCACACGTAGAAATTCGGCACCGCCTTGGTAGCCTTTATCGGCAAGTAAACCCCAGTGGTTGGGGAATTCCACAGAAAGAGGATCCAAGTCGTTATGATGGCGCTCTTCGCGATGCTTGAGAAGAAACTTTCCATGAACGTTACGCATTCGTTGCATAATTTCCAAATCTGATGTTGAGCCCGGATAGTGCTTGCTGCAGCAAACAGCAAGGCCATTGGGTAAAACGGAAACTTCTACTTTATATCCGTCGAGTTTATGTTTACCGCTGAAATACTTCTTATCCTCTTGTATATTTCCACTGGGTCGGAAGGCCATCTGAAAGGTGACGTCCGTCGCGTATCGAGCTCTCCTAAAAGACGAAAAAAGCTGGTCATTTTGAATCAGCTGAGCCATCCGAAAATCGGACTCCACACCGGTCACTTCATTCTTGTATAAAATTTCGGAAACACAAAGGACAAACCCCACGATTAACCTCTCAAATGTTGGTCCCTTCATCCCGAACGTTCGAGCCATGAAATCCCAATGCCCACCATGTTTTAGGACACATAATGTCATAAAAAATAAGTCTCGAGGCTTGACAGACGACCTCCTTCCTCTCCCACGTGTGTACTTGTCAATCACAAACTCCCTTATAGAATCCCAGATTACAAGGAGCTCGTCCGGGGTAAAATTTGTCATCGAGATTATTCCGGCAGACCCACCCCGATCATAGAATTGATCAAAAATCGGCGTGTCCGAATCGTTATCCTCATCGGTGTCGGAGTTCTCGGCCTCGGAAGAATACTTTCTGATCTCGTGCTCACGCTCCACTGCAGCGTCTGCCAGCAACTGCAGCGCTGCTGTGGCATCATCGCCCGAAATTGGCTGCATAATGTATGCGAAAGAAAAGGGTGTGGGGAATTCGTGAAACTCACGAGTGTGTGAGGACGGTTTGACAGGGATGAGGGACAGGGATTAGGATGATGTGTGTTGAGGGGACCGCGATTTAACAACTGCCGAATGACTGCATGATATCAAAAATGAGCGGGGGTTTTCCGATAGCAGACCTTTTCAAAAAATATGCAACAATCTCCGCGTTTGACCACGTATGTACTGTTGAGTGAGGTGTAAATTTTTAATGTGTGTGGCATTTGCAGCAGACGCGTATGTTCCTATGTGCATAGTCCAATAAGCAAGCGCCTCTCTGATTACAGTTTGCATTGGGTGTTTTAGAGTGCCCCAGCTATGTTCTTGAAAGGTCTATTGTACTCCGCACCGGCCGAGTGCTGTAAATATAACTCCTTACAGTTCTTCTCGCGCTTACAGCCCATCGTACTGTATCCCGGGGCGGCAGCGGTGGTGCCGTTGCCTTCGCGCCGTTGTACTACAAATGTCATGATCGCCACGCGACGTTCGTTCTACCTGGCGATTCTGATGATGGTTGAGGGGACGAGGTTGAGCAGGGTGTAACTCGGGCTGCGGATTTGTTTCAGCGAGCGATTGAGGAGCATGACGGTGTCGGGTCGATGGTGCGTCTATAATGGCCACTATCAAATGGCCCGGGAGGGGTGGACACGGACGTGGTTCTGGCTGTAGAATTGTACGAGCTGGCCATCGAAAAAGGGCACAATGTCAGCTATGTGCTACCTGGCGCGCCTATTGCGGTGATGGAGGAGACGGGGTGCAGCGGGACGCCGCGTGGGCTGTGAAGCTATTTGCGCGGGCGGTGGAAGGGCACGGTGACGCCGTGGCGATGGGTGGATCTCGGCTCGGCGACACACCTGTGCGAGGCGCGGAGGGGGTGCGGAGCAACGCGGCCCCCTGCTTTGTCTAGATGTGTTCTGGGGGGAGCACGACCGCGCCCCTCCCGTCACGGCCGCCCCTTCGCCCGCACCCCATATGACTCCTCCGGCCGTCGCGATCTCTTCGCCTTCCTCTGCTCGGCTTCCTCCCGCAGCCTTACGGTCATCTTGTGTATCGGTCCGTACGTCTGCGCGGAAGTGTCCTACGGCGGCTTCCCCCCGCGCTTACGGTTTGTCCCCGACATCGAGTTTTGCAGGTACAACACGGCCTTTATGGACGAGGTGGCAACCTGGGTCCGCCATGTCATCACCCGACTCAAGCAGGAAAAGTTGATGCTACCGCTGGGGGGGACCGGTCATGCTCGTGCAGCTAGAGAACGAGTACTCGATGGTATCAGATGCGTACGGAGAGGTTGGGGGGAAGTATTTGCAATGGTGCGCCGATCTGCAGAAGGAGCTCGAGTTTGGTGTGTCAGGCGTCATGTGCTACGGAGCTGCCGAGGGAGTCGTGGAGACGATCAACTCGTTTTATGCGCACGAGGAGATTGACGGGCACCGGCAGAGGCGTGCAGATCAGCCGCCTGTGCTCGTTCTGCGCGGTTGTAAGAGCGCGCGATCGAGACGCGGCAAGATCGGGACGCTATGTTGAGCATGGCAGTCCTGCTGAGGGACGGGGGGAAGGGAGTTGCGAGGGATGCAGCGCGGGCTGTAAGGCTGTTACAGAGCGCGATGGAGAGGCGCGGCGAAGACGAAGCGGTGGGGCTTCCCGGGAAACTGGTGCGGGACAGAGTCAGGCTGAGTTTGGGGTAACATGGGGCAGGCGGGCACGGGTGGACTGACTTGCGGAACCCTGGATGCGTTGGAGTGGGCATTGGGTATTGAATGGTGAGCGGCGTAGGTGCCAGACGACGTACAGTAATTCCAACTCGAAAACCATTACAATGGTTGCCTACTTGTGCATTCGGTAGGTCGATGCTCATGGCTATTTACGCTGGGGTGCACTGGACGAAGCTGTGACTGTTTGGTACTCACCCTTCGAGGACGTATAAAATGTGCGAAGTCCTTCGATTCCCATGTCAGGTTTGTCACGATTGCGAAATACGTGCATTTGAAAGGCTACATAGAATGCTTGTCCGTGGGATGGCGTTTATGTCTTGCGGCATGTACGTACCAGGGTAGGCATTGCATGTTGTCGTGGCTATCACGTTTAAGTGGTGGATGAGGGGTTTCTTTGCATTGCAAGGGATGGAGGGGGAGAAAGGAAGGAAGTCCTTTGAATGCCAAATACAGTATGGTCCGCCTGGGCGGTGATAGATGAAGCAAACATTTCGGCTAGGAACAGGAAGGGTTGGAGCACTTTCTCCAACGATCTCTGACTACCACAAACTTTAGGGGGAAACGGGGCTTTCGATCCTGTATGTCACAGACTGGTCACAATTCTGTGCTTGTCATCGAAGGCAGTTGTGCGGCGGTTGCAGTCTGCTTCCAAAATTGACACTGTAAAAATATTAGTTGCAGAATTACGTAAGAAGTCATACTGATTTCACAAGCTGTAACTCTTCTAAAGCTTTATTGCGACAGCGTTGCTTTACAAGAATTGGAAGGCGGCGATGTAAACATTCGTTTGAATTATTGGCCCCCTTCAACTTGTTATGACAGGCGAAGCAGATCTTGATGCATAAAATCTTGACTGAAGCGATGAAATTGGAGTTGCGGGCGAAGGGGGTCGAGACTTGGTGGGGTGACTTTACCAAAGAAGCCAGCGGGGTATGTACAGTAATTATGTGACAAGAAGAAAGGGACCAGGGCGAGTGATTGGCGAGTTGGAGGGTTGAGGATAGCAGTGTGTGGATTTGGGGGTCGGAGGAAAGTGGCGTTGATGACCGGAGAAGATTTGCATAGGAAAGAGAAATGCGGGATCGAGATATGGAGCCCACCTTGCTTGTGCGCAGCTCCTCTAGATGAGAGATTGTGGAAAGACGGCTGCCATTCCAACACTGACGGCCCTTAACATACGCATACATGTGCGGATGAATTTCAATGACTGACCCGACGTCACAGATAACTTTTCACCGTTTGAAATTCGAGGATAGCGGGGGTCGTGTGCATAACCTGTTATGACGGTAAGGTTCTGGTACTGAGGCCCTTGGGTAGCGGTATGTACGTGGAACGCGCAAATTGGAGATGGACGCAAGGAATGCACAAGCATAACGTCAGGGAACCGAGCTACCCTTCAAATTTTGATTGTCAAGGGCAGGGGTTGTTATTTCTCCGGTGGTGAGCCAGGCATGCAGTGAAATGCTGGGATACAGTATTATTAACACGTATGCGGCACCTCAGGAAGTTTACATAAAGACAGGAAATGGTGGGTATGTTCTCCTCGTTGGCGTGGAGGGGCAACATTCGTGAGTGGGATGTAATTTAGGTCATGAGCGCAAAAGGGGGTGCAGGAATTGATGCAGTTGAAGGGGATGCGTGGTGATGTCAATCAAAGCGAGGACATGGTTGGTCATTGACTCTGTCATCGTTCCGGCTAATGGGGTACCCCTTGGTATTTAACGGCACAGCTATCGATTCCTTGTGGTGAACGGGTGTGTCCAAGCGATAGCACACTTTTGCGGATTCGTTCCCTCCTGCATTTTTGGCGTCGGGCCCTGCTGAGTGCAATGTTTCAAAAAAGGCATCATGTAATGTAGTATGGGGCGACGAGAGCAAGGCCGACTTCCGAGACTGCTTGGGCGACCCTGATAGTGTGCTCTCTAGGACCACAAACGCAGATATCATAAAAATGACCATGCTAATAAACTGTGTACCTTCGTATAATGCGCACTGAAAACTACAAGGATAGCGATAAAAGTTACCGCTTGTAGTACACAAAGAGAAAAGAGAGGTAAACTTTATGTCAGCAATAGCTCAAATTCGAGGCCAGGGAAGGGTACCCTTGGTAACAAGTTGCTGTGCCGTTCAACGGTACTGCAAATTATTTGAGTGAAATATGTTCAAAAGACATTTTTCTTTAACCTAATTTTATTTTAAACGAGTCAACCTACCCTTCAAGGTTAGTGTATACCACAGAAACATTATCTCAAATAGAAACGGTGGATCCAACAACAAAGTTGAAAAGAAATAAAATTTGGAGATTTTTATGTTATGAGAACGCTTGGTCGGATAGACATTGCAAATTATTTCTCTGAAATAGTATAGGTGATACTAAATACGATAACTGGGTGTAGAGAGAGAGGGATCGCGTACCGGCTCTGAGGTCGAGAGCGAAGGTCGACCTCAAAGTCAACCCTGCTGTCGCCCCACTATTGGCCTAGCGTGTGCCACGTTTCGCAATTCCCTCCTCTTCGGCCAATAGAACGCGTCGCCATCCTTGCATCGCTGCCATCTGCCTGTCGAAGTTTGAGGTGCCTGAGGTCGGGCAACCATGCTGCTGCCTCAAGCAAAAACCAGCCTGTTAAGACAAACCAGCCTGTTAAGACACGCCCTCAGGGCGTGTCTTAACAGGCTGGTTTTTGCTTTGCCTTGCCCGGTTTTGCCAGGAATACTTTTAAATTCTTAACAAATACCGTATGCTTCTTAAGCCCTTGCTTTTCTTAAACACATAAATTAAAACGTAGGAGCCACTCATAGCACGCCAAATCACCTCTTTGGGCAAAGCAAAGCAAACTGCAGAAAAACGGGACATGTTAAGACACACCCTGAGGGTGTGTCTTAACATGCCCCGTTTAGAGTTGCGAATGCCGACCACCTACCCTTGCAAGGGTACTACCGCCCCCGTTCCGCCCTCGTTGCCGCGTTATTTCAATTTAATTCTTCCTTCTAAGTAAACGTTTTTTTTTAAGCGGGTCTATTTTTCGTACAGGAGTACATCCCCTTCTCCACACTTGCACTTTCCTCCAGTTTCGAACCCCGTTTCCAAGCCCGTTTCACGCTTTTCCCCCCTGCTCGACCTATCGCCCGATCCATCCACAGACTCCTCCCACCATGTCTCTGCTCCCCACCCTGCTCCTGCTGCTTATCCTCGCCCTCTCGGAGGGCAGCCCCGCGCTTCCGCAACAGGTGCGCATGGGCCTCAACCTCGACACCTGCACTTCCAACGATGATTGCGTCCCCCCCCGCAGCTGCAACCTCGAGAAATGCATCTCTCGGGAAACCCTTCCCTGCGAGGACAATTCTACATGCGACGACGGCGAGCGCTGCCTTCTCAACCCGTTCAGTGAGGAGGGTCTCATCTGCATCTCCGCCACTGCGTCCACATCAGATGGTGATGGCGACATCACGGTGCCCGCCATGTCCGTGAGCCCAGAGGCTGCAGAGACGGCAGAGCCCTTGGAATCGCCCGAGCCTTCCAGCCCCAATAGCGGGGAGAACGAGGACGAAGTGTGCGTGGACGCCGAGGCGCTCGCTCATCTACCGGCGCGCGACTTGGTCTTTTCCACGCATCGCGTCGCCCGCGTCCTTTGCGACACTAACGGCAGCTGCGCGACGAGAGGCCATATTGTCGTGTGGCGCGGCGTGCCTATGATGATGCGCTCGTATTGCCTGGAGGCGCTGTGTGAGGCACGCACGATCAAGGTCAACGCGCCAAGGTATCGCAGGAAGCTTCGCGTCGAGTCAAAGACGAGCGGCTTGCACTTTACCGCGCTTGCGGCTAGATATGAGACCGCGGTCGAGGAGCGAGCGCTGCACCTAGCCGTCAGGTTTGGGTGGTGAGAGTGCGGAATATGGAGACTCGGAAGGGGAGTGTTGGGGGATGGATTAGAACGGGCGCTTTCGAGCGGGGTGCGGTTACGATCTGATAAAACATGTACACACGCTCGTGCGTTTTAGTTGATCCGGAGATCGCGGGATTTGTCGCGTGTCCTTTGTTTGGTGTCTGTTCGCGCTTGGGGGGCGAGCAGTATCCCTACGGCTTATTCCTTTTCAGGTTGTGGTACTGACTGATACTGTGCACTCGCCGGTTGTGTGTTCCACCGCACAGAACGCAGCGACATATGTTCCATATCTCCGCGAGTTCGACCAGACACACACGTGACGAGAGATACTATTGTACGGCGCCATGCTCCTCCGCTGAGTATGTCGCCGTCTATCGTCACGCACAACTTCTTGTGTCGCATTTTCCGTATTTTGAGAGCGAGTCGGTGTCGCTCCGGACTGCGCTCGCTGCGACGCTCCCCTTCCAATGCCGCATGCATTCACCCTCAACCCGCCTCGCGCTCTCTCCGTTACGTTGCGTGAGCTTTCGGCACGGTAATATACCATTCCACGGGCCTCGAGTTTGTATGCCTGCTTTGTTGACGCTTTCCCCTGAATCACGCCTGCATTAGGATTAATAGTTGCCCTTCAAGGTCACGTCTGTGCAAAGACAAGCGTGCAAATTACATTTCCAACAGAAGAAGGAAGGAGGCAAGCAATGCCAATAATTGCGTTGCCCCACTTCAGATGCGAGTAAGGGAAAGGAAGGCAAAAGAGAAAGGGTGCGGCACCTTCGTTTCTTCAACCCCCTTCCAGCAGATGACTATGCGTCCTCCCTGATAAGTGCTTTCTTTTCGCGGTGGACACCCCGCTCGTGCAAGAAGGCTCCGAAATGGAGTTTTTGGCAGCACAGCTCTACACCAAGCGCGACCGTGACAAACGTCAAGCCATGTCTCCTCGCGCTACTGTTTGTACTGCGTGTGACGGCTTGCGACACACACATGACCGTACGGCAACCAGCGCAGGCTTAAGTCTCCTTGGTTCCGTAAGGGCCGTACGTTCAACAATCCGCAGGGGCAATAGACGCATGCAACAAGCATGGTCTATCCTCTAGATGATCTCACAAGTTAATTTCAACGGGTCTCAGTCGCGAGAAGTGCGCGCAGCAGGTTTGGTCTCCTTGAGTTGTGTGAGGAGCGGTTCTCCGTGGTGCGGTGTTACGGGAAAAGCCGCGTGCGAGAGATCCTGCTCGCTGCCACACATACGTGGCCGGAAAGGCTTTCCATCCAGAGGGGCCTGTTCCTGCTCAGTTGTGGCGCGGGCGAGTGAGGAGCTCGGCTTTTATCGGGCGAGTCGCGGCCGCACCGCGGCAGAAACGCACAATATCTGAGATGCGGAACTTTTGGATGGTATTGGCTTGTGCAGACAGGGGGAGCTTCCACTATCTACGCATGAGATGGAACGATGGGCAGGATGTGGTACCCTTGGTACCGTAGATCAGTTGAAGCAGCGGCGAGAAATGGTCGAGGCGCAGGCGCTAGGACTTGGAAAGTGGGGGAAAGAAAGAAGTTCCTGCACTAGTTGCACGGATGTTTGGGCACGTCCCGACCTGATGCAGGCTGCTGTACCCTTAGGGTACTGCCCACACCACGGGTGACGGTTAACGAGTGAAAGCAGTACACATGAACAGGCGCATGTGATGCTGGTATGATGGCCTGTTGACGACGTGGAGGCGTTGTTGTTAGTTTCCCCGAATCCCACTGAGGGGCTAATACACGTGCTGGCTGAAGTGGGTGGGCGGGGTGGCGGCCGTGCGGGGAGGCGTGGGCGGGGCGTTGGGAGGCGTAAATACGGTACCCTTAGGGTACAGATGGAGGCATACGGTAGGGTGGCGTAGGGTGGCGCAGGGTGGCGCAAAGGTTGGCGTAGGGTGGTGTAGAGTGGGGAGGTGTGCGTAGGTGTGAGGCTCACACTGTGAGCCACTGGCACACTGGAACGGGAGGTTTCACAGTGCCTGTAGGTAAATTTACTGTACACTTAGGGTACCGGTACCCTTCGAGTGGTACCCTTGGGTAAACTTTACTGCAATGCATTGTACCGAATGTACGGTGGCTGAACGGTGGCTGAACGGTGGCTGAACGGTATCTGTACACGGCATTGTCTGAGAAAGTGCAGGTCATTTTCTCCATTTCCATTCCATTCTGAGGTGAAGCTGTGGTTGGCAGAGTTTATTGATACGGTCATATAGATTGTTTGTTTGGCTGATGAGGGCTTGTGGGTTGCTGGCAACCTGGCACCAGATACGGCTCAAAGTGTGGAGCCTGCAAGGGCAAGCACGGCTACTTGGAGGACATGAGTGTCATAAAACAGACGAAAAGGAGAGCTGATGAGGGCAGTATGATGGCAGTATGATGGCAGGATGATGGCAGTATGATGGCAAAATACCGCCTCAATTCAGCATACCCTGTCCCCCCCGCTCTCGCTGAAGACTCTCCCCCCACCCCGTTTCCGGAGCCTATCGTCTATCGCCGGTGAGAAGGGGACAGAAGGGGACATGCGCCACCGAAAACGGAGGATCAACGCCGCGAGAAAATCGAGCAACAATTTCCACTGATCGCTGTGTTGCTCGCGCGAGGAGCCACTTCCTGCAAGGCTGAGCGAAATTCACATCCAGTCTTGAAGGAGAAAGTCTGCTATGACACAAACTTGCACTGTATGATCCCACTGTATGCTCCGGTGGAACAGCAACGGCCTCGAGACTTGCGGCTGACGCGGCTTGCTTGACAGATATGGATGCAACACGATCAACCGATTCGCAAGTACAGCGTTTCAGTGACCGTCCTGACGTCCAATCCCCAAATCCCAGTTCGATGTATGTGTTGATTGCTTGCACCGGCATCGCAGGCAGGCACAAGTCGTACTCCGCAGCCCTACTCCGCGGCCCTACTCCGCGGCCCATTGGTCGCGGAATACGACTTGTGCGTTTGACGAATGCATTTGTCGCGACAAACAAATGTCTAAACCAGATCCGGAAATATTGCATGCATTCTTCTTGTTCGGAGACAAGAGACAGGTTCTCTACACGTCGGGACATGGCCTGTGGACGATACAGACACAGGTAGCTGTCTACTCTGGCTCTCGAGGTGTCGCTTAGGCAACCACAGCAAAAAAAGGGAACTGAATTCACCATACACGTGAAATTACCAATTTCAGAGGGAAAGCTGTTACCGTGGTTTTTACTATATCGATGAAGGACATGAACGGCGCCCCCGAGCCCAGCAACGGAGGTCAAAGTTAGTAGTATAAAAAAGTGCGAAAAGACTCTCTACATAACAACACCTTAACACATCATCTGCAATAGCCCCACCCACCGCAATACCGTCTAAAGCACGAATCATTTCCGCCGATACCGGTCAAAACACAGCAAAAGTGGCCGCCAGTTGTGCATGTGCTACTTTTGCTACTGATGTTCTTGAGCATGATGCTACGCGAAGAGCTGCGCCGCGAGCCCCTATGAGCGCCCATGCATCTTGCAACCACATTGATCATATGGTTGATGACGGGAGCATCTTCGTAACACTCAACGCGGCGAGTGCGTGAAATCTGGACCATCTTCGGATGCATCTTGACGGCGTCGCGGGCGAGGCAAGTCACGGCGTGCCCAGGCAGCTTAAGCTTCCGGGCGTCGCTTACGACGAGATTGATTTTGCTGAAGAAAAAGCGTTGGGAGTAGCAAGTGGAACCGGAACCGGAGCGGGGTACAGCAGAGACAGAGTGGGACGCCAAGGCGACCATAAGGACGAAGACGAAGAGGCGGAGGTCCATTGCGAAGAAGAGTTGGGTACTCGTGAGATTGCGTAGTGGGAGAAATCCTGATGTGCGAAGGGGAGGTGGGAGCACGTGATGAGGATGAGGGGCAGCTTTTCGGTGGAGGAAAGGGCGGGTGGGACGGGGAGGAGGAGTGAGGCTTTATAGGAAAAGACGAGGACAGGGAGTCGAATGACGCGTAGCCACTTTGAGGTGATTTCGTGGGTCGTGATAATGATGAGAGTGAGTGGGGTGGAGAGGGGGGGTTGGGGGGGTGACGCGTCATAAGCGGAGTGAAGTTGATATCAAAATGGGGGATGATGGAGACCCACGGCTTAACGCATGGGGGCGAAAGTCACGCGGTCCACCGGGAGGTTGTTGTGTTGGTCGAATGAGGAAGCGAGTGGCGCGTATTGCAAAGGGCGGCTGTAACTTTACTGGCGGGTGGGGGGAAAGTGTAGGGCCAAATGTGTCAGCGCGATGAATGTGGGAGCTGACGCCGTGTGGGCGCAGCAGGACGACGGTCGACACGGCATTCTTGTCCCACTCCAGCGGCTGCAGGTCGATCGCGAGAGAGACGCATTCCGCACCTGCTAAATCCCTCCTTCATGACCCGCCGGCCTGCACACACGCCCGCGCAAATGCTTCCCACCCCTGGGGGATAATCTCCCGCGCTTTCCACCCCGAGCTCAACGACTTTCCACCCACAACACTTTACAGACTATCAACTTGCCCGCCCCACTACCCCCCGCCTCAGCACTCGCTGCTGTGCGCTGTCCCTCCCTCCCCCAGCCGAGTCTCCCTCACTTCCATTTACACTGGAATCGTTTGCGTCCTCCCGCCCCCCCCCCCCCCCCCGCCGCCCCGCCGCCCCTCCCCCCCACTCAAACTCAACCACGTTCTACACCCCTACCCCACCCCTCGTCCTGATCCGTTTCCGGAAACTTTACCATACCCTTTGACCCCATCATCCCATCATCGTCCCTCGATGTACGCCGTGTACGCATCACTAAGCTACTGAATCCAAATATGCGCTTCCACATAAATTTAAGGAATGCGGGTAACCCGCCGCCTAAACCCCTCCTTTCAACTCTTTAAGGAATTCAAATTACTGTACATCCAGAAAAGCGATCGAAAGAAATCCATTGCCGTATACCCTTCGAAGGGTAAGACCTGTACTAACAAACAGACAATTCCTCTGCACGCGCACTGACTTTTTACTACTATACTCTGTTTGTGTCCCGAATTCCCCATTCTCCTCCCCCTTGCTGCCCCTCTACGAAAAACCTCAGCAACGTCGTTTTTTATTGTCTGCCGCACACGGTGTCGTGTGTCCTCGTGACTTTGAACATGTTGGTTGTCCTCATGGGTCTCCTAGAGTGGGACACTCTGTCCTGCTCAAGTACAAGCATTATCCCCAGATTCAATCCGGTACACTCTACAGTACGTATCGATTCCGACAGCAAATTGTCGAGTCGCCCTCAAGGAGTGAATAGCGAGCAGATGAATATGAAACCTCCTTACAAAACTTTATTCTTCATAAACGCCAGTCACGCACCTATCCTCCTATGCCGCACTGCCGTCCCGGCTCTAGTTTCTCCGCTCCCGTCCACTTCGTCGCTCGATCCACCCACTGCGTCTATTTCACATCACTGTATAACCATAGGGCGATCACGTTAACATGTTACTCCAGAACCAGCTCAGCGTCCTCCGCGTCTACTGTACAAACCCACCCGGGCGGTGGTTAACACATTATAAAAACTTCTCGCAACCGCTGCTGCTACGGTATCCATACTGTACTACCAGCACAGGGAAAGAAAAGCCCGAATCGTCGTATCCTCCTTCCTCGCGCTGCGCTCGCTCACACTTCTTATTATTGAACTGTATGATGCCATCAACGAGTTGAAAAACGTGTTTTGATATAGTATCATTCACGAGGATATACTCATCCTCGCGAGCCACAAGGACCTCACTGTATCCTCTTATACCCAACCAGTGATCGTCTCTCACTTACACCAAGCCAGTGATATTCGGCCTCGCCGTTTCGAACATCCGAGTTCTTGAAGCCTGACACTTGTCTCCTGCCAACGTTTATCAACCCCTTTTAATGTTCTCTCCCGAATCATTGAAGTCCATATCTTCTAAAGTGCAGAGAAGCCATTGGATCACATCAGGCGAAAGTTAGCTTTCAAGTTTTGACTAACGTGACCCCCGACATCTCTTAAATCTCCTCTCACGGAAGATATCATTCTCTCTGTTTATTTCGTCTATCGTTTAATGTTGGCAATACAGTACCGTTGCGATACTGTATGTAACTTTATAGCCGATTTGCATAGAGTCAGAGACTCACAGTCAGTCAGTCAGAGACTCACAGTTGTTTGCGTGCGTCTGGATTGTCAATTGATGCAACTCCGGCCCCTTCAGAGCAGAGGACAGGCTGCATTTACGTAGTCTCCCCTGCGCATTCCCATTTATTCGAAATTCTGGTAGTGCCAATTTAATACTGGCATGAGAACAACGGAGTACTTGGTGTGTGGTGTCTCACGAAAGACGTCATGCAGTGCGGAAAAAGTCAGCAAACAG